GCTCTCTAGCAGGAGACTCTTGTTACTAAGCACTGTTGAGCACTCTGGCCCTTTTTTTGGTTGCAACAGTTTAAAAACAGAAGCTGTAACTCATCTGTAGGCATTTGATTTCAACTTACCCTAATCATCACATACATCTCTTTTCTACTTTCAGCAACATTACAGCATGGAAAAGCCTACAGTAAGCAATTTTGTGTGATATTTAAATCACCAAGGCTTGAGGTATAAGGACCTATGGGGTCCTGACTTTGAAAGCTCTAGGAAGACATCTGTCTGCCTGTTGGCTCCCCAAGTCAGACAGGGTACATCTCAGAGGGAGAGACCCCTCCTCCCTGCAATGCGCTGGGCTGGCTGCCTGGTCCCCCAGTCTGTCCCTGAGACATTGCAGGAAGAGAGACCCCTCCCCCCAGCACCTCACCTGGACTGGCTACCTGCTAGCTCCTGGTCTCCCCCAGGGGCACTGTAGGGTGAGCCACCCTCTCCCCTTCCCTCCCCCTGGCCAGGCTGTGGCTCTCAGCTTGCTGGAGGGAAGATGAGAGGGGTGGGGATGGCTGAGACCTGGGACAGGCAGAGGAAACAAGCTGTGCTAGGCTGAGGCTAGAGTGGCAGCCCTGTGCAAAGGTGCATGGGCTGTAGGCAGAATCCCCGAAAAGTCACCCTCACTGCAAACCTGTACACAGATTCGCTAAGGCGCTCTCTCCTACAGTGCCTTTATCTGATAGCTCATGAAATGAGGGTTCAATTTTTGTGTGATTGGGCATTTTAAAAGTACTCTGCAGCTGTGAATGTTTGTTACATTTTGGCTGTAGAGCACTTTTGGGGGTATCACCAGGAAAAAAAATGCAATTTTTGTACACACTCCTAAGAGATTTTTAAAGTGGGAAAGGTGAAACCCTGCCTAATCCAAAAGTTCCCATCTGCAGCTCACTAATTAGTAGGCTTGTGTGAAACGGCTGGTATTCGCTTTGGGTTCAGCCGATTTGGGGGACAGTAATTCGATTCCCCTTTTCCTCCCAGAGCCTGCCTCAGGGGATGGGGATTCAAATCACTGTCCTGAATCAATTTGGGACAGGCAGGGGATAGGGCCTGGCTGGGGTCCCCCCATGGTTCCCTCCTTCCTCCTCCAGCTCCCTCTCCCCCACCCCCTTCTCACCAGCTCCAAGTCCAGCTGCATGTCCCTGCTGCAGCCACTGGGGACTACCTGAACCGTCAAAGCTCTCCGAATCTTTTCCAAAGATTCAGAGAGCTTCAAATTGATTCAGACCTTTTTATTGGTTCCCTGATTCGATTCGGATTTGGAGATTCAGCCACCGAATCAGGCCGAATCTCTTCTGAATCGAATCAGCAGCCAAAGCTTCGCACAGCCCTAATATTAATTATATCTATGTTAGCACTTCCAGATTTTCTCAGCTCTGCAACCCCATATTCATACCTGTTTCCATATGCAATCCCTTTTATTTTTTTTGTTTTAATTCCTTGTTACTATTTTTCAGTATAGTTGCTAATAGAATGAGCTCTAACAACATGAGAGAAAAGTATGAGACAAAGGATGGCAGGAGTGGTTGGGGCCCTATACGGGCTTGACAGAAGTGAGTCCAGGTCCCTCATCTGCCAGACTTCTTGTGTGATTCTGAATTGCATTGTGCTATCCTTCCCTTCCTGCCCAACTGAACAAGGAGGAGAAATAGGGATAATATTACTGTACAGTAGGAGGCCTCTGGAAAAAGCACATCTTCTTTACTGTATACAAGAGTACCATTTCTTTCTTATTATTCCAGAATACTCCTTCAAGACCACTGACTGTAAGTGAAATACTTTAACATCTGTTGTTTGGTATCTCTGTACTCTCCCTCATTTGCATCTCTGCATCTGAGCCCCCACCTACATTTTAATATATAAAAGTTATATATTTAAACCTCCAAAAAAGGGAGCAGGGCTGGCTTCTTTACCTTGTGGGGTAGTATTTATTAAACATGACATGCAAATCCCTTTTTGCTACTTCCTTATGTGGAAAGCATGTTAGAAGTGGTACATTTCTGATTGCACAGTACAATCTTTAACAAGTAGTTATTGTTTGTTAGCACTCAATTGTTATGACCTACTTTTTGGCGATTTAATTAACACAATGGTGGGGGGGTGGTTCTCTTATAATGCAGGGGACATCAAGGAAAAGAAATGTTTCTTAGGTGGGTGACCATTTCTGTTGATGATAAACTCAGCATTCTCCAACTGGACAAATTGCACTGAAGTTGTACCACAATGCTGTCGTGCTATGTTAACACTTCAGCACAGCACAGGGCAATGCCACTATACAGCAGTACTCCGTGGTCCCTGAAATGGATTTCCTGACTCACAACTGCTGGGAGGAGCAGACAGCCAGGTCTGACTGCTCACGAAAGTTCCTTGCTGAGATACAGGACCTCCACTTAACCCAGGAGGTGCACAGTCCCACCAGGGAGAATGCCCTCCTGGTCCTGGTTCTGGCCACAGGTGATGACCTGGTGAGGGGACTTCAGGTTCATGATCACCTGGGTGACAGTGATCATTGCCTACTGGAATTCACCACACAGCACAGGGTGTCAAGGGCCTGCAGCAAGGCAGTAACCCTTGACTTTAAGAGGGCCAACTTCAACGAGTTGAGGAGATTGGTAGGAGAGGCACTGGGGTCCTGGAGGGTTGGGGAACTGGGTATCCAAGATGAGTGGTCGTTCCTTAAGGAGACGATCCTCTGAGCCCAAGGGGTGACAGTCCCAACAAGAATCAAAGGGGGCAAGAGTGCTCAAAAGCCCCCCTGGCTCACCAAAGGCATTCAGGAACTCCTGAAAGCCAAAAAAGAGGCATACACCCAGTGGAAAGGAGGGGCTATCACCAAAGAGTATACCTCCATCGCTCGGGCTTGTAGGGGGGCTGTTAGGAAAGCTAAGGCAGATACGGAACTAGGGCTAGCATCAAGGATCAAAGATAACAAAAAGTCCTTTTTAAATACATAGGGAGTATGAAGAAAGCACCAGGTAACATGGGGCACCTGCGGGATACGCTTGGCAATCTGGTGGTTGCACCAGAGAAAAAGGCAGACCTTTTTAACAAATTCTTTGCCTCCATTTTTCTGTGCAGGGACCGGGATTCCCCCACTGAGATTCAGGATGGACTCAGGAGAGACTCTGCCAGGCCTAGGGTCAGGGAAGACCGAGTTAGGGAACTTCTGGAGGGGCTGGACGTGTTCAGATCAGCAGGTCCAGATGCTCTCCACCCAGGGTGCTGAGGGAATTGGCAGGGGTTATCGTAGGGCCCCTGGCATGGCTTTATGAGCGCTCATGGTGCTCTGGCCAGGTGCCTGATGACTGGAGGAAGGCCAATGTGGTCCCCATTTTCAAAAAAGGGAGGAGGGAGGAACAGGGCAACTATAGGCCCGTTAGTCTTACTTCAATCCTGGGGAAGCTCTTTGAGAAAATTATCCAGGAGCACATCTGAGAAGGACCAGCAGGGGGGACGTTGCTCAGGGGAAACCAGCATGTTTCATTTGGGGCAGGTCCTGTCAGACCAACTTGATTGCCTTCTACGATCAGGTCACAAAATCATTGGACGCAGATGTTGCAGTGGATGTAGTCTTCTGGACTTTAATAAGGCCTTTGACACTGTCTCTCACCCCATTCTCATTAAAAAACTAGGTGACTCTGGCATTGATGCCTACGCAGTCAGATGGGTCACCAATTGGCTGAGCGGCCGCACCCAGAGAGTGGTGGTGGATGGGTCATATTCGACCTGGAGGGATGTGGGCAGTGGGGTCCCCCAGGGCTCGGTCCTCAGGCCCTCACTGTTTAATCTCTTTATTAGCAAATTGGATGAGGGGGTGAAAAGCACCCTGTTCAAATTCTCTGATGACACCAAGATTTGGGGCGAGGTGGGCATGCTAGAAGGGAGGAACAGGATGCAGCTGGACGTGGACAGGTTACAGGGGTAGGCAAATGAGAATAGGATGGGATTCAATACTGACAAGTGCAGGGTGCCGCACTTGGGCAATAAGAACCAGCAGTACATCTATAGGCTGGGGAACTCCTTTCTCAAAAGCATAGTGGCAGAAAGAGATCTTGGAGTCACTATTGATTCCAAAATGAACATGGGCCGCCAATGTGAGGACGCGGTCAGTAAGGCTAACCACACCTTGTCATGCATCCACAGATGTATCACGAGCAGGGCCAAGGAGGTGATCTTCCCCCTCTATGCGACACTGGTCAGGCCACAGCTGGAGCACTGTGTCCAGTTCAGGGCACCGCACTTCAGGAGGGATGTGGACAGCATGGAGAGGGTCCGGAGGAGGGCCACTCGCATGATCCGGGGACAGCAGGGCAGACCCTATGAGGAGGGGCTAAGGAACCTGAACCTGTTCAGTCTTCACCAGAGAAGGCTGAGAGGGGACCTGGTGGCCATCTACAAACTTACCAGGGGGGACCAGCGGGGAATGGGAGAGAGCCTGTTCACCCGAGCACCTCCCGGAGTAACAAGGAATAATGGCCGTAAATTGTTTGAGAGTAGGTGCAGGCTGGATATCAGGAGGCACTACTTCACAGTCAGGGCAGCTAGGGGCTGGAACCAACTTCCAAGGGAAGTGGATTGCTTCTACCCTGGGGGTCTTTAAGAGGAGGCTTGATAATTACCTGGCTGGAGTCATATAAGCCCAGTTTTCTCTCCTGCCCAGGGCAGGGGGTCGGACTTGATAATCTACTTAGGTCACTTCTGACCCTACCAACTATGAATCTATGAACTGCTGTTATCGTACAAAGTCTTTTGTGAGGTTTTGTCATCTTCAATGAAGGGGACAAGATGTGGCCTGGTTCCCCGCAGCAACTGCAGTAACAGACACTACTATGAAGCTTTTCAAAAGACCTTTCACACGCTTCCCAGATAAAACTGCCTATCTTCACCTGTTCATGCCCCTTGAAATTCAGATTGTGACTTTCTCAGTGTGAAGCTAACATTTATGTTTCCTTCTATCTCTTCAGATTTTTTGGTGAAGGAACTGCACAGAGATGGCAACGCTGCAAGACCAGACTGCTCGGCAATCCAAGAAGCTGATGTCGTTGTCCCCAGAGCATTCTGGAAGCTTCTTCAGTGCCAGCGTCCTTGCAATTAACGCCCCCCGATGTTGTAGAGGAATTTAGTGACATGGTAAAGGCTACCTATATAACCACTGACTGACATCCTTAAGTAATAATTCATTGTTCTTTTCGAGCACTCTCCAGCCATAACCTCAAAGCACTTCACATACATGAAAAAATGATGCCATGAAGTCCCCACTTACGGTGGGTCACTATTATGTTTCTTATGAAAAGAAAGTCATGGCTACCAATTGGCCAGAAATAGGTATGCGATGAGTCAATCTGTTTCTGTTTGCAACCTGGAAGGTCAAAAAATAGCGGGAGTCTTTAGACATGCCCTGAGGGGTGGGGTTCTTTAATTAAAGCAGCTCTTGGGAGGTGGTCTAATTAAAGCACCTGCAGCATCACATGTACTCAGAATCCTAAGCTTCAAAATGGCGGCAGAGGTGCTTTAACTGAAGCTCATTCAACAAGCTTTAGTTAAACAACCCTGCC